GTGAATTGTATGTTAATTCCATTTTTCGAGGAATCTATACTGTTTTCCATAATACCATTTTATATTCCCATCAACAATGTATAAGCATTCCAACTTCTCTGTATCTCACCAAAACTTATTTTCTGTTCTTCTGATAGTGGCCATCCTGATGGGTATGAAGGGATATCTCATTGTGCTCATCTCTAATGATTAGTGATGTTGAACATTTTTTCACATACTTACTGGCTATTTGTAAAATCTGATTTGGAGAAATGTCTAATCAAGTCCTTTGCTTATTTTAAAATTGGTTTGTTTTCTATCATTGAGTTATAAAATTTCCTTGCATTTTCTAGATATTAATCCCTTATCAAATATATGATTTGGAAATATTTTCTCCCATCCCATAGGTTGCCCTTTCACTATGTTGTTTCTTGTGCCATGGAGTTCTAAAATTTGATGGAGTCCCATTTATCTTTAATTTTATTGCCTGTGTTTTAGGTATCATATCCAAGAAATCACTGCTGAATCGAATGTCCTAAAGTTTTTCCCCTGTTTTCTTCTAGGAACTTAATAGTTTTAGGTCTTACATCAAATGAGTTAATTTTTTATAAAGTATAAGGTAACTTTATATCTTTGCATATGGTATCTGGTTTTCCCAGCGTCATTTGTTGAAGAGACTGCCCTCTCTCCATTGTATAGTCTCAGCACCTTTGTTGAAAATCATCTGGCTATGTATGCAAGCATTTATTTCTGGGCCCTCTATTCTTTTCTGTTGGTCTGTATGCCTATCTTTATGCCAGTATTGCTCTGTCTTAACTACTGTTGCTTTGTAATATGTTTTGAAATTGAAGAGTGTGAGGCTTGCTGCCTTTTTTTTTTAAAGATTGTTCTGGTTATTCAGGGTCCTTTAAAATTCCATATGAATTTTACAATTTTTCTTCTATTTCTATAAGAAGTGTCATTGAGAGTTTGATAGAGAGTGCACTGAATCTGTTGATCTCTTTGAGTAGTACGGACAGTTTAACATGATCGTCTTTCAGTCAATGCGTGTGGAATGTCTTTTTTCCTTTCTTCTTTAATCTCTCCTGGCATTGTCTTTTAGCTTTCAGTGTGTAAGTCATTCACCTCCTTGGTTAATATTTTTTCTAAGTATTTTATCCTTTCTAATGCTATAGGATGAGGGATTTTTTTCCCTTAATTTTCTTTTTGATTCGGTCATTGTAGTGTATCAGAATGCAACTGATTCCAAAGTGTTGATTTTGAATCTTCAACTTTGCTGAATTTGTTAGTTCTAAAGGGGATTTTTTTTTGTATGTGGAATCTTTAAGGTTTTTTACATATAAGATCATATCATCTGCAAATAAATCATTTTCATTATATTCTTCCCCTTATTCTTTTCCAATTTGTATATCTTTTATTTCTTGTCTGGATTGCTCTGGTTAGAATTTCCAGGACTGTTGAATAGAAGTAGTGAGAAGGGACATCTTTGCCTTGGTCCTGATCTTCAAGGAAAAGCTGTCAGCCTTTCGCTTTGTTGAATTCCATGTTAGCTATGGGCTTTTCACATATGGTCTGTTATGTTGAGGTAGCTTTCCTTGAATTCCTTGCTTGTTGACTGTTTTGATCATGAAAAGTTGCTGAATTTTGTTAGATTTTTTGCTGCAGATTGAAATAATGGTGTGATTTTTGGCCTTGATTTTGTTAATGTGCTGCATTACACTGATTCTCCAAAATACAGAAAATATAAACTGACCAGTTATCACAGAAGAAATAAAATTGTCAAAGGACTACCACTCCTAAGACACCAAACCTACATGGTCTGATAGGTGAATTTTACTAAAGTGTGAAAGTATTACTAAGTTGTGTCTGACTCTTCGTGACTTCATGGGCTATAGCCCACCAGGCTGTTCTGTCCATGGAATTCTCCAGGCAAGAATACTGTAGTGGGTTGCCATTTCCTCTTCCAAAGGATCTTCCTGACTGAGGGTTCAAACCCACATCTCCCACATTACAGGCAGATTCTTCACCCTCTGAGCCACCAGGGAAGCCTGAATTTTACTTAAGTTTGCAAGGGAAAGGAATCTACAATGCTATTGCAACCTCTCCCTGAAAGGAAAAACAGAGAGCAAGTTTGGAAATGCATTTAATGAAGGAGCATAGTATAGTCTTCATACATATTAGTAGTGCCTAGTGGTTAAGCAAATAGATTTCAGCTACACTTTAAATCAGTCACTTTTGTGTCAGAGTTAACTGTCCACCACAGAATATAGTTGTAGTTGGAAATATGATTCCTGCTTAATAATTTTCTCAGCTTCCTTTCAGCTAGACTAATTCTCAACCATTGAAGCTGACTAGAAGTGACAATTCCCATTTCAAGACCAAGACTTGAAGCAGATGTCCCCTCCCTGTGGAAGCAGAATAATGTTCTCCCAAAGATCCTAATTCCTGGAATCTATGGTGTTACATGGTAAAGGGGAATTAAATTGCTAATCATTTGACCTTAAAATTATTTTGGATAACCTGGATAGCAGACAGGCTCTGTGTAACGATAGGATCCTTAACAGTGGAAGAGGGGTGCGCTGAAGAGTCAGTATTAGTGATGTGTTACAAGAAAGACTCAACCAGCCCCTGCTGGCTTTAAAGACGGAGCGAGTCATGAGCCAAGGAGCGTGGGTACCCACTAGAGGTTGGAAAAAGCAAGGAAACAGATTCCCCCCTAAAGCCTCCAGAAGAAGTGAAGCCCTGCCAACACTTGGTTTAGCCCAAGGAGATCTATTTTGGATCTCAACCCTGGAATTTTAAGAATTTAAATATGTGTTGGCTTAAACCAGTTAAGTTTGTGGTAATTTACTGCAGCAGCTATCGGAAGTTAATACTTTCTTCCACTTTTACTTTTTCCTCTCTTGCCAGGAAGGTGAAGTTAACAGTGAAACCTTGATAATGGTAGAGCCACAAGATGGAAGGATCAAGGGCCTGTGAATCACCAAGTAAAGTGAAGTCATCTATTGGATGAAAACAAACACCTCAGACACTTATGTGTGGAAAAAATCTCTGTTGTATTTGAATGATGACATTTGTTACAACTGTTCTGTCTCATTCCAGTGAGTTCAGCTCTCAAAAGGAGGATATCAATAATAGCTACCTCAAATAGTTACTGTGAAAATTAAATAAGTTACCATAACTAAAGTATTTAGAATGATTCCTGATACACACTAAGTGTGGTATGTGTCAGTATTAAGATTGTGTGCATGCACTCACACACACACAAAATTTATAAGAATATATATATTTTTTAATATCACAGCAAACATTCTAAACAAAAGATTGGCTGATTGCTAGGTAGAATTCAGCAATACACTGAAAGAAGAATATAGCATGACCCTCAGTTCAGTCGCTCAGTTGTGTCTGACTCTTTGTGAGCCATAAACTGCAGCATGCCAGGCCTCCCTGTCCATCACCAACTCCGAGAGTTCACCCAAATTCATGTCCATTGAGTCGGTGATTCCATCCAACCATCTCATCCTCTGTCGTCCCCTTCTCCTCCTGCCCTTAATCTTTCCCAGCATCAGGGTCTTTTCCAATGAGTCAACTCTTCGCATGAGGGGGCCAAAGTATTGGAGTTTCAGCTTCAACATCAGTCCTTCCAGTGAACACCCACGACTGATCTCCTGTAGGATGGACTGGTTGGATCTCCTTGCAGTCCAAGGGACTCTCAAGAGGCTTCTCCAACACCACAATTCAAAAGCATCAATTCTTTGTTGCTCAGCTTTCTTTATAGTCCAACTCTCACATCCGTATGTGACTACTGGAAAAACCATAACCTTGACTAGACAGACCTTTGTTGGCAAAGTAATGTCTCTGCTTTTTAATATGCTGTCTAGGTTGGCCATAACTTTCCTTCCAAGGAGTAAGCGTCTTTTAATTTCATGGCTGCAATCACCATCTGCAGTGATTTTGGAGCCCAAAAAAATAAAGTCAGCCACTCTTTCCACTGTTGCCCCATCTATTTGCCACGAAGTGATGGGACTGGATGCCATGATCTTAGTTTTTTGAATGTTGAGCTTTAAGCCAACTTTTTCACTCCTCTTTCAGTGTCATCAAGAGGCTCTTTATTCTTCACCTTCTGCCATAAGGGTGGTGTCAAATGCATATCTGAGGTTATTGATAGTTCTCCCACTGATTTTGATTCCAGCTTGTGCTTCCTCTAGCCCAGCATTTCTCATGATGTACTCTGCATATAAGTTAAATAAGCAGGGTGACAATATACAGCCTTGACATACTCCTTTTCCTATTTGGAACCAGTCTGTTGTTCCATGTCCAGTTCTAACTGTTGCTTCCTGACCTGCGTATAGATTTCTCCAGAGGCAGGTCAGCATGGCCCTAGAGTGGTTTATTTTAAAAATACCAAAAGTTCAATATTAGGAAATAATGTTAATATCATTCACAGTTAGCAGTGAATAGAAAGGAACTAGCAGCAGTAGTTCCTTTCTGACTCATAAGTTGGACTATTAAAAAAATGCTCACCTCCTCACAAAAAGAAAAATTATTCCTAACTTATGACATTTGTTACAACTATTTAACAAATGGTTTTTTCAATAGTCCTACATTATTGAACAGAATACATTGCGAGAAGTAGCTCAGATGTTAAAATTTGTTTATTATTGTTGATTTTCTATCAGAGTTTGGAGTAGTGTTGAATTGAAATTGCCTAAATTCTGATTATGGATGAGTTTTCTAGTATCAGAGTCCAATGCTTACGTACTAACATTAATAGTAGCCCCAGACTAGAAATGTAGTACATAAACAAACATTTATTTTACACAAGGTACTAATTAACTACAAATAGAAATATTTCCATTAATATTTATTTAGTAGCTTTATATACAGTTGCTTTGAGATTTACATGTACCACCATATAGAAGAGGTGTTGATTCCTCCATACCAAAAATGTGTTTTTCATAACTGATGTCATAACAAAGTGAAACTAGTGTTTCTGAAAGGTTTAGCCCAGTATACCATTTCTACCTTTGGTATGTTACAGGATAAAATGCTCTTTGGGCAGAGAGATTATATCCTTGTTGGGTACTCCTTGCTGACACTGGCTTTGTTGATGTGCTCTCCTGAGTTTTAGGCCTGGGAAGAGATTTTGGCTTGCTGAAATATTCTGCAACGGGTATTTTCATCTCATTTCTTCTTATAAACAATGGAGGCTTGCCCTCTGAAATAGAAAAAGTCTCAATAAGACCATAATTGAGACATCCAAATATAGTAGCTTCTGCCATGTCTTAGTAGCAAATGACATACAAAAAAAACTTTATGAAGTTTATGTGATTCAGATACACCCAAAATTCATAAAATTATTTATTCTCATCTTTATTACCACCTGCTCATCTTTAATAAGCTAATTTGTACTACAACATGCAGGATATGTTCTTTCAGTTTTAGAATCAAACATTATTTTGGTAGGAACCATTTAGAGCTGGTGATGGGCAAAGGATGGGACCAGTGAGAGAGAGAGAGGTGAAGGATCTACAGTCCTGACAGACAAAAAAACAAAGCAGACAGCAGGTTAAAACAACTGCACTGATAAGACCTTCCCAAGGCCTACACTAGCTCCACCCAAGCAGAAAGGCGAGTCTGCGGAGACGCTAAATGCCAGATCGGGAAAGGAGGATGTCAAGGCTGTATATTGTCACCCTGCTTATTTAACTTATATGCAGAGTACATCATGAGAAATGCTGGACTGGATGAAGCACAACTGGAATCAAGATTGCTGGGAGAAATATCAATAACCTCAGATATGCAGATGACACCACCCTTATGGCAGACAGCAAAGAAGAATTAAAGAGCCTCTTGATGAAAGTGAAAGAGGAGAGTGAAAAAGTTGGGTTAAAACTCAACATTCAGAAAACTAAGGTCATGGCATCTGGTCCCATCACTTCATGGCAAATAGATGGGGAAACAGTGACTTTATTTTTTGGGGGCTCCAGAATCACTGCAGATAGTGACTGCAGCCATGAAATTAAAAGACGCTTGCTCCTTGGAAGAGAAGCTATGACCAACCTAGACAGCATATTAAAAAGCAGAGACATTACTTTGCCAACAAAACTCTGTCTCGTCAAAGCTATGGTTTTTCTGTAGTCATGTATGGGTGTGTGAGTTGGACTATAAAGAAAGCTGAGCACCGAAGAGTTGATGCTTTTGAACTGTGGTGTTGGAGAAGACTCCTGAGAGTCCCTTGGACTGCAAGGAGATCCAACCAGTCCATCCTAGAGGAAATCACTCCTGAATATTCATTGGAAGTACTGAAGCTGAAACTCCAATACTTTGGCCACCTGATGTGAAGAACTGACTCATTTGAAAGACCATGATGCTGGGAAAGATTGAAGGCGGGAGGAAAAGGGGACGACAGAGGATGAGATAGTTGGATGGCATCACCAACTCAAAGGACATGAGTTTGGGTAAATTCCGGGAGTTGGTGATGGACAGGGAGGCCTGGCGTGCTGCAGTTCATGGGGTCACAAAGAGTCGGACATGACTGAGTGAACTGAATACCTACACCAAAGACTAAGGGGTATGATTTGGGGGTTTGTATACAAGTATCTAGACACAGTAAAATATATTTGAGACCTGCAGATAAGACATAAAATTGAATAATAGAAATCATCACTGTCAGGATTTTATGGTCCTAGGGTAAAGAATTTGTTAGGAGTCAGATACAACAGACCATCCTTGGAGTGTCAGAGTAAGTGAATGTTTTCTAATTTCTAAACTATACTTATTATTGCCTCATATTAGCAAATAACACTTCTTTGGCGTTTGATTAACCCCAACAGAAACTGCTGGGGTCTAGAGTGACCTCATGGATCTAATTGATTGCTGTATCATTCCTGGGTAAGAGGGACTTGTAAGACAATTCGAGGCTTGTAGACATGCTTCATAGTGGCTGCTCTGTAGTCATTGTTGCTATGTTTGTTTTAAAGCTAGGAGTTGGCCGAACCCACAGGGATATTTGGATTGGGCTGTTTTGGACCAAGCTAGGGCTTTCCACAATTCTTGGTATGTCTTGGTCCCGATTGCAGGCTGGGGCTGGACTTCTGACAGGGACACAAAGCTGGTGCTCTCCTGCTACTGATTCAAGCTGTGTCTCAGGCATATGTTGTGGCTGATTGCCAAAATGTTACTGTTTTCTCGGGCTGACTTTGTTTCAAGTGAAAATCATTTAGTTCAATGACAGTTTAGCTGTGAAAAACCCAAACTGATATCACCGTTCTTTTTTTGTTGTTGTTAGGTCAGTGCAGGTCTCCAGTCACTGGATTGAAATGACCAAACCTAGAGTTCCTGCGGTCTTGCTTCTCAAGTAGTGTGATGAGGCACTTTGCCTTTCAAAACAAAGTCAAATACAGGTCAGTTTTACCTCTACGAGAAATTTCAGCAGATGCTGTCCCTTAAGAGTAGCTGTAAATCACTATTGCATTATACTCCCTTTAAAACCATAGATCCGTAATACCTGTGTCTCCAAATAGTTAGATACTTACTGGTTTCCTTATATCAATTCAGTAATTATCACAAACTGTACTTAACCTTTCAGTACTTCCTTATTTTCTTCAGATCCTTGACTTGACACTCTAAATCAATTGGAGAAACAAAATGAAATTCACAGATACAAATATTTTCTATAGACTGAACCATCATCAACAAGTTAAGAAATGTATGTTTCTTAAATAAACATCTCTGTTTTTTGATGCAGATAGCATTAAATGTACTTTCTGATGAAAAATTCTTCTGACTTGAAGTAAACATATGAACAGTACATCAGATATTACTCACTAGGGTAGAGAAACAGACCCTATCTCCCAGTCTCAAATTGTATGGAAACTTCAAGGTGGCAACCATTTGCAATGTAAAATTCTCCTCCATCTGAATGCTTTTTAAAGTGACATATTACTTGTTTTAAATATTTATTTTCTCCAAATTTAAGATTTACCCAACTTTTGCTAATTTTAAAGCAAAATGATTTTCTTTCCCAGCTTAAATAACATCTTACCACATTCTTTCACTATGATGTACACATAAATATGTATTTTCTTCTGTCATTAAAATTACAAGGCTTGAGAAAAGTTTCTGCTGAAATAATTCCTAATTCCCTTAATAGTTGTTTTTCCTTCTGGTAGCCCCCAGGCATATGTCAGGGAAAATTAGGTTAAGCAATTTGTTTTAATCTTGCATTGTTCTAGACAGAAAGAAAAAGTGATACCTATATAATATGCATTCTTGCAAAGTATACAATAACAATGAAGTTTGGTTTTCTTTATTGCTTCTGTTTTTCAGTAAACTGAGAACCACTACATTTTCTTAGATTTCTGGGTGGTTCCTCTGAGTGGAAAGGGAACTTTTCTCAAAAACATAGGTTGTTGGGTAAGGAAGACATGGCCTCTGCCAACATGCTCTAAATAGTAGAATTTAGAATGATTTCTTTCATTTTCATAAATGTAATATGAGAAAACAAGTACATTGTTGTCATTTACTGAGTAAGGAGGATACTTAAAACTTCAGCAATTTTAGTGTTTTGAAAGATAACCAAAAGGGAATTCAAAGTCATTATGAACCACATGCCCCGTAACTGGCCATCGGGCCTGATTACCTCCTCTGTTGATGTCCTTCCCTAGAACTTGTTAGCACCTTTGATTTTGCTGATGAATTTGAGGGTGACTTAACTTTGGGTGGCTTCCCAGTCTCTGCTGCTGGTTCAGCTGAGGTGTTTCTTCTGAGGCGAGTTAAGTTTATCTCAGCCAGTTCAGCATGAATCAAAGCTGAGACCCACTCCTTTTCTGATTTAAAAAAGAGAGGGGTCATGAAGGTTGTACTTATCACGTTGGCTAGAAACACAGGATTAGTTCTTTTACCCAGCACTCCAGTGTGAAAGGTAACCTGTTTTCTGGGCAGGCATCTTTGTGTGAGTTAAGGTTTTTATAGAAAAGGTGGTTCACATCAACCTCGTTTCTCTCCCCCTGTGATATTGCAGACTGCTCAGAATAGTTAACTCACGGGGGTACTTGTCCCTGAGTAGCAGTGGAATAGATTTTAAATATTGAGTACAAAATCCAGCCTTACAGGCCACTACCAAATGAAAACAAAAATACCTATTAAAAATACTAAGTACAGTATGAGCTCATGAAAATTAAAACTAATATTTAAATAAGTTATAAGCATCTCTGAAAAGATACGTATCAAAGCATTACTAAAGTGGTGTCTGTGATAATTTTATTTTTCTTTTTTTTGGTCTGGCTCACCTTTTTTTTTTTTTGCCCAACAGTAAGCACTCATTATTTGTGTAAATTTTTAAAAGTTATATTCTTAAAAAGGAAAAAAAAAGTAAAAACTCCTTACCCCCAAATACTTCTCAGTTGCCTGCCAAGTAATCTTGAATTCCTGAAGTAAAGTATTCCAAATTCTCCCCATTTAAAATTATTAATCTATCCCTAACACATGGGTATCTCCTAGCTCTGATTACTACAGTGATTTTCAAAGGGTGCTCCCCAGACCAGGCTTATCAGCATCACCTGGGAACTTGGTAGAAGACCCTATTCTCAGGCCCCACCCACCTCAGAAGTTTTGCCTCAGTCAGTCAGATGACCAGCTAGGTTTGAGGATGGCTGCTCTGTGTTATTTATGGTCATCCCACTTGGGGACTGGCATATATTTTTCATGGAACAGACCAGAAAGAGCCTAAAGGAGGCTGGGAGATGACTGACTTGATGGTTTTGGTGAGGAACTGGCAGAGGTGTTAGAATCTGGAACTTGGAAGGCGATGCTCTTGCCATCCACATCGAAGAGGGGAAACAGGCTGTGTTGAGGGCTCCCAGCAGGCCAGAGATATGCTCAGGGAGAGCCTGGGTGCATGGGCTCGGGGGGAGAAGCACAAACCAGCTCTGGACACAAGTATTTCACATCACCCACAGAAGTTCAGTTTGGGGCATGACCAGCTTGTGTGCCGTTGGATATACAGGACTCTGATACTGAACACTAGGGAAACAAAATTGCAGCATTGTCTCTGCAAATCCAAGGTAGAAAACTTCAGACACTGGCACATTTCCTAGTTTCTGGCCATGAACTGAGCTCAGTGTTCACAAATACGTAATCTCACCTTTTGAACTCACATGAAGCAGCCACTGTAGAACTTCTGCCAGAGAATCAGTGCGTAAAATGTTACAGAGCTTTTCCAGAATCTGACAGAGAATATTAGGGTTACATAGTGAGCAAAGTTTATAAGGTTTCCTTTACTCTCTCCACAGTCTTGTCTTCCCACATGTCACTCTGTACACAGTGTTCAAGACAACTGGGATTTTAACTTGGAAGCCAGATTTCAAATAGGAAAAAACATCTTCAGTACAAATGTAGTTGACTCCTGAGCAAGGCAAGGTTAGTCTACTGCCAACCCTCTAGGCAGTCGAAAATCCAACTGTAACTTAGAGTCAGCCCTCTGTATAGGTGGCTCCTCCATATTCTAAATTCCACATCCATGGATGCAACCAACCATGGATCATGTAGCACTGTTGTATTTACTACTGAAAAAATTCCATGTAAAAGTGGACCCACGCAGTTCAAACTCATATTGTTCAAGGGTCAACTGCAATAGTTTAGGTTAAGCCATGCATGCAGTTTTCTTTTGTTTTGTCTGTTCAGTACCAACATCTTATGGAGGAGCAATTCACTTTTCTTCTCTTTGGGAACTGATCCTTTCCTACTGCACCATGGGATTCTGGTCACAGAACTGTCCCATTCATTTTGCTCCTCTCTGTAGTGAGTGAACCTAGCTGGATTCATCATTGTTCCTCAGGCCCAAGAACACAGTGATTGGCCCAATCGGGTAGGAATATGATTCTCTTTAGTCAATCGGAATCCTTCATTGACTTCTTTTTCATTTGGAAGCTAACTGCTGAGTTGGTGATAGAGGAAATAAATTAATAAAAATGGACTATAATAAATATTAAAAGTCCAAAATATAAAGCACATGTAATGTTTCCAGATTTACCCCAAATTGTATCTGCTTTTGGAATTTAGACATACCTGAAATTTAAACCTGTCTCCTGAACTTCAGTCCATCTGCGACCATAGTCATATGATAGGTAATTTGAACCCCAAATACCTAAAACTGCACCCATCTTTTTCTTTATAAAACCTATTCCAAACTTGCTGTCCCTTCTGATTCCCCATCTCAGTGGACAGCACCTGCATACGTTGAATGTATGTCCAAGCAAGACCCTGGGATTCACCCTAGATGACTCCCTTGTCCTTTTCTATGTCATACTGCCAAACAAGGTCAGTAAATTCTTTCTTGTAAATATGTCTCAAATCTCCATTTCTCTTTATCCCCATAGCCTTGCTTGACACAGTGTAAACCATCATCAATTCTTGCTTGAGCTTATTTTTTCCTAGACTTTCTGCCTGAAAACTTTTATTAAAATACTATTAATTCAACAGATATCAATATTTGTGTCTATCATTGATTTAGGTGCTGGAGATACAGAATTTAAAGGGTAGAAAAATCCGCTGTCCTGTATTCAGCTTTGTTTATTAAGATTCCTGTCCTTGATGCCTTATCCTAGAAGAAAACAAGTTAAATTTGTTTTTAATATCATGACAAATCAATGGAAATGGCAAAAAGGAGAAGAGTAGGCCTGTGGTATTCTCCAGGCCACTCTGCTTCTTACGGTTTTGTCATCAATATAGTGATTGCACGTCACCCCGACTTCTTCTAACTTATAGGTCATTTACTGATCAGCTCTGAAAGAATGTAATTAATCATTTCAGTGAAAGAAAATAGAAGATGGCTTCCTCCGAACCCTGCTTTCTCTTCATTTTTATTCTGGAAAGCAGTTACAATAAGTGGTGATAAATAAAGTGGGCAAGTTTGATCTACTGAAATTTGATTTTAGGATTTAAGACTGTAGATCTAGAGTAGCTGCAACTGTGGGCCAGAGCCCCCTATTCTTTTTCTAAGGTGTGACTTTTCTGGTGCCTCAGCTGTATCCTTGGTGTGTTCAGCAAGGTATCTCCACTCTGCTGCTGCTGCTAAGTCACATCAGTCGTGTCCGACTCTGTGTGACCCCATAGACAGCAGCCCACCAGGCTCCCCTGTCCCTGGGATTCTCCAGGCAAGAACACTGGAGTGGGTTGCTATTTCCTTCTCCAATGCATGAAAGTGAAAAGTGAAAGTGAAGGCACTCAATTTTATCTGACAGTTAGCGACCCCATGGACTGCAGCCCACCAGGCTCCTCCATCCATGGGATTTTCCAGGCGAGAGTACTGGAGTGGGTCGCCAGTGCCTTCTCCGCTCTCCACTCTAGCATATCACAACTCCAATAACTTTAAGCAGCATGCTCCCTTCCATTAGCTCTCTTCTGCCAGGTCTCAAGCTCCCATCCTATGCAGGTGCAGTCTGTTTTGGGCTAAAGACTCAGGCAATCTTGTACAGATTTCTGAAGCTCATTCTCTGCATAAGTACTTCTTCAGTATCTTAATTTGCAAATTCCAGCCACTTCAGCATCCCCAAACTCTAAACTCTCTTTTCTCTACCTAGTGAAGCTCTTACTCCCTTTTTGGCCTCCACTTCTCTGTGCCGTGATTTAGGAATGTGTCCCAGGAAGAAATCTGCAAGTAAAAAACAAGAGCAGGCCTTGGATTTCAGGCTGAGAAGTTTTAACTTAATTCAGTTGTCAGTGGGAACCATTAAAATTTTAAGGATGCTAGTGATGTCATTTTTTTGTATATTCATGCTGTTCCCATGTTATGGATTTAATAAACCTGCCTCTTACTTTGATTTCCTGATCCAGATAGTTTGGTATGCAGATGGTGTTCTCTTTGATGGCAGTCTTGGTACTCGTCACTTCTGAAGAAGAAGAACTAGCAGTAGAGCATGCCTTTGGAGTCGATGATGGATTTTTTACCTTCATTTCATCCTAAATCATAGGTATAATATAATCAATATGCATTTGCATTCACTTATATTTTCTATGAAAATTGAATGTAAAATGAATGAGAAATGTTGTAACTGAGACACATACATGAAAGTAAGAGGTTAGTTTTAATCCTCCCTTAAAAAGCTCATTATCAAATATTTACATTTGAAGATGGAACAAATTAGTGATATGTTATTTACTTTTTATACAACAATTTTACACTTTTGGTTTAAAAGATAATTCTGTAATGTTTAATGTGAAACCATCATTTATCTTGCTGCTTCTGGTAACAGCCAACTCTTGACACATATTTTCTCTTGAGATTTTTCTTTTATGACTGGAGAAAGTCAGCCAAGAGTTTTTATGCTATCTGAGAAGAAACTACATGGTGTGAACCACTGCTTCCTGGCTTTGCTAAACGACAGCTGAGAGCTAGAGAATTAGAGGAGTAAACTCAGTTACTTCCCTTGGTTATTTGGAAAAGGACATAGAAAGGCTATTTTTTTGTTCTGTGAGGTGAATATACTGTTTACAGTTTTTTTAAAAAAAACTGTATTGTCTATTCCAAGAAAGGCTTTTTAATCTTCAGAGTGAGCGACACATAAAGGTACACAGAAGCTGGTAGCTGAATGTGTCAGCCAGGGCCTGCAATGATTACAATCTCTAGAACAGTATTCAGTTGTTGATGTTTAATGAAAATAAGGGCTTCCCAGGTGGCTCACTGGTAAAGAATCCGTCTGCCGAGCAGGAGACATGGGTTTGATCCCTGAGTTGGGAAGATCCCCTGGAGAAGGAAATGGCAACCCATTCTAGTATTCTTGGCTGGGAAATCCCATGGACAGAGGAACCTGGTGGGCTACAGTCCATGGGGTCACAAAAGAGTTGGACATGATTGAGCAAGTAAACAACAACACAAGAGAAAATAAAGCTGTATTGTATATACATATTGTATATGCACTCTTCTGTTAAGGTTTATTATGCAGACTTCTTGTTTAGGGGAGTAGCAACATATATATATATATATATGTATGTATGTATGTATACACACAACACATTTACATAATGTATATTTATGTGTGTGTGCATGTATATATTTATGTTCAACCATGCCACTGAATACAGCTAAAATGGTAGATTAAAATATTTTTTAAGTTTAAACTGTTGAGGCGTGAATAACTTAGGAATTAATGGGTCAAAAAATAAAATAGAAATGAGACACTTGAGGTGTAGGGTGTACAGTAGCCATTTTTTCCCTGAGATCATTGTCTTACTCCAGAAAATAAAAACTTTCCTTTTGACAGTCTTAAAATTCCTGAAAGACAGGACCCAAATAAAGGCCAACAAAGGTATTTCTAGGTCAAGGTGACCTAGAAATGCAAAGTCCTTGAAGAAATATAGCCTTAGATCAAGGCTTGAACTTGGGCAAATTGGTCGAGGCTGGTAGGGCCCCAGGGTTCCTACAGAAGCAAACACCAGTTCTTTGGAAGAAAGTGCATTTATCATGATCTTCAGATTTCTACAAATGAGTTTTCATACGTAATGTCTAACAATTAAATCATGAGTCATAGAAGAAATTATAATGTGAATTAGAAAAAGTCATCAAGATGGCTTCTTCTTACAAAAACACCAGAATCACAACTAACTGCTGAACAACCATCAAAAAAGAAAAAAACAAAAAAAATGTAGGGTGTACCAAAAAAGATACCCTATACACAAAGACAAAGAAGAAACCACAACAAGACGGTAGGAGGGACATGTGCGATAAAATAAAATCTCATATCCACACAGTGGATGATCCACAAACTGGAAAATAATTATACCACAGAAGTTCTCCCACAGGAGTGAAAGTCCTGAGCCCCACGTCAGGCTTCCCAGCCTGGGAGTCTGGCAACAGGAGGAGAAGGCTCTAGAGAATCTGGCTTGGAAGGCCAGTAGTATTTGATTGCAAAAATTCCACAGGACTGGGGGAAACAGAAAATCTACTCTTGGAGGGTGCATACAAGGTCTAGTGTGTACCAGGACCCAGAGAAAAAAGCAATAACTGATAGAAAAAGGAGATAACCTAGAAGGATGGGATTGGGGCGGGTGGGGGGCAGGGGTTTGATGGGAGGGAAGGTTAAGAGGGTGAGGATATTATACTTATAGCTGATTCATGTTGTTTTACAGCAGAAACTACCAACATTTTAAAGGAATTATACTGCAATTAAAAATAAATTTAAAAAAAACCATAACATGATAGGAAAAAGCAAATCAGTAAGGTTATCAAAGACTTGAGTGACATTATTAACCAACTTGACCTAATTGATATTTATATAACACTCTCCCAAGAACCAGCAGAGTGAACACTCTTTTTATAGACATATGGAAAATTTATCAAGGTTGGGCATATTCTGGACCATATAACATCTCAATAAATAAAAAGTTTCAAAGTAAAGGATGTTCTCAGACCATAATGGAGTTAAACTGGAAATCACATAAAGATAACTTTAAAATCCCCAAATATTTGGAAATTAACATAATTTTAAGTAACCTATGAGTCAAGAGGTTTAAAAGAAATTAGGTAGTATGTTGAGCAGAATGAAAAGGAAAACTCAGCAAGTAAAATTTGGAGGATGAAGCCAAAGCAGTTTGTAGAAAAATTATAGTAATATATGCCTATATTAGAAAGGGAAAATGTCTCAATTCAACACATAAGTTTTCATCTTATATAAAGACATGAACCAAAGTCCATGAATCAAGAAACCTTTAACTAGAAACATCAGGAAAAAAAAGACAAGTTATGTACTGATATCAAGAATGAGAGACAGAACATCTGCAAATTATATAATAATTTAAAGGGTATTTTATGAATGACTTATCAGTAAATTCAACAACTTAGATGAAATGGACAAATTTTTTGAAAAACATAACCAAAACCTTGATTTAAAGAAAACTCCAGGTTCAGATGGCTTCACTGAAGAATTCTACTAAACTTTTAAATAAAAAATAATACTAATTATACATAAAATTTCCTAGATTATTGAAAAGGAGTTTCCAGCTGATTTTATGATGCCATTTACCGAAACCAGGAAACACATTCATTACCAGTAAACTACAAATATCCCTTATGAACATAAACACAAAAATGCTAAACACTGTTTTATGAAATTAAATATATAAAAATAATACATCATCATCAAGTGGAGTTTTCTCCCAGCAGTGCAGTCTAGTTTAACATTTGTTTAACCAATGTAATTCACTATTAACAGACTAAAAGAGAAAAATCACATGATCATTTCAAATAGATGCTGAAAAAGCATTTGGCAAAATCCTATCCCCATTTCTGATAAAAACTCTCAGAACACTAGAAATAGAAACTTACTCAGCCATGTAAAGGGCACTTCTGGATAGAGTAAACTAATAGCACAATGGTAAAAGTCTGAATGTTTTCCCCCTGTGATTAGGTACAAGGCAAGAATGTCTGCTGTCCTCACTTTAATTCAACACTGTACTAGAGGTTAGCCATTGCAGTAAGGCACAAGAAACAGATAAATAGCATGTGAATTTGAAACTATAGGAGAAAAAATTTTAATTTAGGATTTATAAAAATTGTACATTTTGATTCTTCAAAAGACACTATCACCCCCCCCCAAAATAATAAGCCTCAATTGGGAGAAAACATTTGCAAAATGTATGTGTGACAAAAGAATTGTATCTAGAATATATAACAAGTGTTTAAAACTCCATGATAAAGAGACCAACACCCCAATTGAAAAAACTGACAAAATATTTGAACATATACTTTACATAAAAAAGTACATATATTTACATATATGGATAGCAAGTAAGAACATGAAAACATGTCATTGGACAATTATAAAGTAAGACCACAGTGAGATACCATTGCACACCCACTAGATTGGCCAAAATTAAAAGTATTGGTCATATTAAGTTTTAACAGGATATGCAGGAAAGGAAACCATTATATGTAACTGGTGAGAATATAAAATCCTACAACCACTTTGGAAACTTTGGCAGTTTCTTAAAAATTTAAACATACATTTGCAATAAGACCTGGCCTCCCTGGTGGGTTCAGACAGTAAAGAACCTGCCTGCAATGCAGGAGACCCAGGTTTGATCCCTGGGTTGGGAAGATCCCCTGGAGGAGGAAATGGCAATCCACTCCAGTATTCTTGCCTAGAGAATCCTGTGGACAGAGGAGCTTGGTGGACTACAGTCCATGGTGTTGCAAAGAGTCAGACATGACTAAGTTACTAACACACACTAGTGTAAGACCCAGTCATTCCACTCCTACTTATGTACCCAAGAGAAAAGAAAATATATATCCATATAAAGATTTGTACACAAACGTTCATATCAGTGTCAGGGAACATTTAACAGGAGGATTCCTGCATGCTGTTTTCTATTTCTCATAAATCCTCTCTTATCAGTTCCTATTCTGGGAATGAGTAGAGCTGCATGCACTTCCCAGGATTGAGATCATGAGGAATGCTATCTGTTTGGATTCCTTTCAGTAACTCCCTTCAGTGACTCTTTTCTGCAACCTTGTATGTATTAGACTATCCATATTCTGACTATTGATAAAATTTCATCGTGTGCAATAGCTGAGTAATCATCTTACTAAAGATATATAAGCCTGCATTTCTGCTAATAAAGCACCTTTGCTCCATCAGAGCTTGGGTCCCTGTGTCTTTCTTTCTCTCTCTCTCTCTCTCTCTTTCTCCGTCTCTCTGGCTCTCTCTTTCACTTTCTTATGGTGGACTCCTGACCACCAGGTCCCGGTCCATTAAAGGACTGCAACATATTAGCTTTGTTAAAAACTGGAAACAATGTAAGTCCATCAACAGGTGAACATATAAACAAATTGTGAGATACCAATGTAATTGAATACTACTCAGCAATAAAAAAAGGAATGATACACATAACAAGATGAATGAGTCTTAAACATGCTGAGTTAAACCAGATTTTTTAAAAGATCACTGTAAATTTCATTTATCTAAAATCCTAAAAAAAATGCATGGTAATCTTTAGTGACAGCAGATAAATGTTTGCCTGTGGGAGAACCAGGGTCATGAGAAAACCGGGGAGTTTTTATTCTCTTGATTTCAGCCTGTGAATATATATGTCAAAATTCATCAAACTGAACTCTTTAAAAATGTGCATTTTATATCATGTTAATTATACTTAAAAGCTGTAGAAAAAAATATTGTGAAAAACTTTTCCAGAAAGATATGTGAAGAAAAGGAGAGGAAATGATAGAAGTCAAAACCAAATAGGGGCAAAAACCACTACAATATTGTAAAGTAATTAGCCTCCAACTAATAAAAATAAATGGGAAAAAAACAAATAGGTATCTATAAAATAGTTGTTTCTTTACCTTTTTAATTACTAAGGGATTATCACTGGAAGTTTTGAAGCACTCCTTGACTTTTCGACAGGGCTCTGAAATGACAGGAAAAATATATTTATTTAGATCAAACTGAAAAATAATTTCTACCACATGATACATACATCACTTGCTGAAATGGATGAGGGTACATCTGAATTTCAGTTAAAGTCAACTCAGGGATCTATTTATAAATACTAGAAAACCTGCAGGTAGAATTGTACTTTAACAGCATAATAAAAGCATATTTATAAAGCTAACTCTATACCCAGGAAGACGCAATAAAGAAATACTACAAGAACTTCCTTGATCCGGGTAAACTGGTTCTTAAAAAGTATGTATTTCAGTATAAGACGTGTTTTCTTTGTTTTCTGTCCATATGACTGTCACTTTCTCTAACTAAAGAGATTACATGTATACTCTTTTCCCTGTAGACAGAAAGAGAGGTGTGTTGAGTTATAATTACATTCTTTATTCTAGTACTTCATCTGTCTTGCAACCCTGCCAATTTCACATAGCCATCTAATTAAATTACCCTTAATTACACTTAAATATTTGCTTAATTTCCCTTTGCATTCATTTAAAGATACATTCTGTGTGATGCTGGTTTTTTTTCCCCCACTGAAGCCATAGTTAACAAAACAATTTTTTAAAAGCTGAAAAGATTTTGTGCATATACACAATAGTAACTGAATTCATTAGTTCTAGCTGAGGAAAGATTTTTTTTTTTTAAGTGTAAAGTTACCTTTCTCCAAGTAGTGAGAAGGAAGTTATGGTTAGTGATTCTGCTTAGTGTCCACTTGTGGGAAACAGAAACCTCTCATCTATTTTAAGCAAAAATGTAAATAATACATAGAATTTAGCTGTTTGTAATATCATTAGAAGAGTTAGAGCAGTGAACAGTTTTTATATAGATTTTTTCTTAATTGGTGGAAAATTGCTTTACAACCTTGTGTTGGTTTCTGCTGCACAACAATATGAATTGTCATATATATATATAAATTATTACATATGTAAAAATTGTATATAGCCCCTTTTATATAAATACATACATCCCCTGTATAGTCACAACAGCATGAATTGTCATATTTATATATATACATTATTATATACATGTATACCCCCTTCCTGTTGAGCCTCCCTCCCCTCCCCACTCCCGACCCCTCTAGGTCATCACAAAGCACCAGGCCAGGCTCCCTGTGTTATAAGGCAACTTCTCACTGTCTATTTTACACATGCGTGTATATATGTCAGTGCTAGTAGAGAATAGACTTATGGACACAGCGGGGGAAGGTGAGAGTGAACTCTGTCTTGACCTTCACAAATCACTTCAAGAACAATACCCTGCATCTGACCCACCAAGGCAGGCACAGCCTTTATCACAATGGGAGGAAGGAGACTCAGGAGGCCATGGCCATGTCAATTGCTGTCACAATATCCATGAGGCTAAATCTTAGGCGTTGGATCACTGTTGCGATCAGAAGGTCACCACATCTGCTGATTTTGCCTTTTAACACCCATAAATCCAGTGTCTGGACACTGAGATGCTGTCTTAGGAGAACCCCATGTCTCCGGCCACACTTGATAGCAGACGGCAACCAAAAAGGTGGCTTCAGCCCTACGTCTGCAGTACAAGTCTTACCAGATGGCAGCTCCGCATACACATCAAGGGACTCTTGCCAAAGTAATCTGTAGGTTTCTAGGTTCTACACACAAGAAGGGACTCTAGAAAGACGGTGGAATAAGTGGGTTTTAATTCTTCATTGCTGGTGAAAAGGATGAAATGAGTTAACTCGTGTGAAGACTCTAGAATGGAATCTATTCCCCTTACTGTTATCTTTTAGAAGATATATGTGTTTTACCACATTATACCAAAATAGTTTTCATGTGCCCTGAAAGTGTTAGTAATAGTTTGCAATTATAAAGGGCAGAGGGAAAAGTACTGGATATAATTTCTACCATCTAGAACTCCTTGTACGACATAACGATTTGATCTATGTATATTGTAAAATGATTATCATCAGTTTAGTTGACATCCATCACCAATAGTTGCATATTTTTTCTTGTAATGAGAAATTTTAAAATCTACTGTGTTAACTTTCAAATATATGATATAGTATTACTAACTACAGTCATCATGCTGTACTTTTGAGTAATCATTTTAAATTTAACTTAATAAGCATTAATTAATTGAACTAAATGTTTTATAAAGATCAGGTCCTGTCCCAGGGCCTGGGAGAACAGTAAAACTGGGCCATGACTTTAAGGAGGTGACTGTCCAGTGTGGAAAATGTAAACATGACATTCCATCCTTACTGCATTTCCCTGACTCAGCTTTGGTCTGGAGTAGTTTCTCTACCAATGTTGGCTAACATTCATTTTTGGTCTCTCTTAGCTACTTTTGTAGGGCTTAGAGACTAGAACCATGCCAAATTTGGCTTGGGCACAATTAAAAATAATGATATGAAAATATGCTCAACATCACTCATTATCAGAGAAATGCAAATCAAAACCACAATGAGGTACCATTACACACCAGTCAGGATGGCTGCTATCCAAAAGTCTACAAGCAATAAATGCTGGAGAGGGTGTGGAGAAAACGGAACCCTCTTACACTGTTGGTGGGAATGCAAATTAGTACAGCCACTATGGAAAACAGTGTGGAGATTTCTTAAAAAGCTGGAAATAGAACTGCCATATGACCCAGCAATCCCACTTCTGGGCATACACACCGAGGAAACCAGATCTGAAAGAGACACGTGTACCCCAATGTTCATCGCAGCACTGTTTATAATAGCCAGGACATGGAAGCAACCTAGATGCCCATCAGCAGATGAATGGATGAGGAAGCTGTGGTACATATACACCATGGAATATTACTCAGCCATTAAAAAGAATTCATTTGAATCAGTTCTAATGAGATGGATGAAACTGGAGCCCATTATACAGAGCGAAGTAAGCCAGAAAGATAAAGACCATTACTGTATACTAACACATATATATGGAATTTAGAAAGATGGTAACTATAACCCTATGTGCAAAACAGAAAAAGAGACTCCTATGTATAGAACAGACTTGTGGACTCTGGGAGAAGGCAAGGGTGGGATGTTTCAAGAGAACAGCATTGAAACACGTATATTATCTAGGGTGAAACAGTTCACCAGCCCAGGTTGGGTGCATGAGACAAGTGCTCGGGCCTGGTGCACTGGGAAGACTCAGAGGGATTGGGTGGAGAGGGAGGTGGGAGGGGGGACCGGGATGGGGAATACATGTAAAAAAAAAAAAAAAATGAACTATTTTCAACAATGGAAAAAAAAAATAAACATATTGTAAACAGTTAAAAAAAATAAAAATAAAAAAAATAAAAATAATGATAATTTTAAATCATATTTATTAACAGTATTGAACTGAATTGAGATGAGGTGAGTGGAAATTTTTATAATGAATAACTATTTCACAGTGGGAAAATTTCATGACTATTTAAAAATGACTGCAGCTATGTGAGCAATTATATAGATATTTTCCCTCCTGATAGTTGGCAGGAAGCCTCAGGAAAGATTTCATGAACTGAGAGGGACTCACCAGAATGAGGCCGTGGGGGCACTTTGACCCCGTTAAAGGCTGGCGAGACTCCTCTGACAGGGCTGTCTGTGGCCACAGCACTGGGTGGGTAGCTCCATCTGGCATATGGTATCTCATCTTTCTGTGAGTGGTGGGACTGGCCAACAGCCCACAATGTTCTGAATGAGTTCTCATCATCATTCACATTACAGATTGGAATGTTATTCAAACCTAGGTGAGTACGGATGAGAAGAACAAACCACCAGATTAGGTTTTTGGCAGGTTTTCTTTGAATGCTCAGCAGTTTTCCAACCAGATATTATAAAATGTATGTAAAGATGCCAGACTTCAGATTTTATGAACCAGTGCTGGGTGGACAGTCTTTAAAAGTCAGTGTAGCAAATTATGTTTGCAACACATCCCTTCTTAAAATGTCCTGCCATCTTGGTAGCTTTGAGAACCAAGACCCACATCTTTGATCTTTGTTCTGGGAGTTAAGTGGAGTAGGTTTGCTGCTAATCCCAGACAGACCTCTCATTTCCCATGTCTTAATAATGACTAAGAGGGACTATGTTAGCACTCTTCAGGAATATCAGATTTAGATTTTTGAAAGCATCCAGAATGTCTCAATGTAACAAGGCCCCGTAAAAGACATATATTGGCTCTTCAGTGCTGGCAGAAGAGAGAGTCATTCGAGTGAGGAACAGGAGACAGGACAAGGTAAGCTGTATGGGCAGGAAGGAAGGGAAACCTAGCAAAAAGGAACCTCCTTCCTCAGAGCCTTCTGGGTTCGTTCATTCTCCTATAATGCTATTTGCTTTTTGCTCAAATATTGAATTATATCCAGGCCCTGTTCTTAGTATCAATGCCGTGTTATATAAAACTGGGCAGCTTAAGAAGCATACGTGTGCAGGACCCAGCTCTGTTAATAAGTGAATTACGAGAGAGAGTAATAGATGACTGCTTTGTTTCCCAAGAAATTGCACAAGAAGATTTTGGATAATATTTTGCAGTGGGAATTAGTAACTTTGACTAGGATTATGGTACAGACTAAAAAGAGAAAATGGCCAAGGATTTACCTGTGAAGGGATTCCAACATTTACTGCAGAATTAAAAAAAAGAAAGAAAGAAACTACAGGAATAGGGGAAAAATTTTAGGAGTATATGGTGTGACCGAAACTAAATTTTCAAAAGAGAAAGGAAGAAAGAGAGGGAAAGGTGACGAGAGGAAGGAAAGGGGGAAAGGGAGGGGGAGGAGAAAGAAGAGAAGGGATTGAAAGAGAATGAAAGAGTGAGTGACATGCTTGGTTCTCCAGGCTGGTATTTAACATGCAGACGTTAGCACGACTGTACAGGTTGCTAAACATTGAGATGCTTTCACACCACTGGGTCGGTTGCTGCCCTGAGCCTCCTGAGTGGCCCCTTTGGCACCTCTCCAGGCCCCTTTCCTATCAACCAAGTGATCCAGGGGTGGGTGCCCCGGGGCTTGTCTGCAGGCCTCTTCTGCCCTGGCTCCAGCGCCGGCGTCTGGTCCCAACAGTCAGCGCCTGTGCCTCACCAGTGGTTCAGTGTTTTTAGTAACACCCCCATGTTTACCCACTGGAATCATCAAGTAGTCCTAATAAAGAGGAGAGAGAGACATTCTAGGACTCTGAATTACCTCACCTTTGATGTGGCAGACCCTTCTGGGATGAGGAGTGTGCCTGACTAGAAAACAGCTTCCATTTCTAGCTGAAATATGGCTGCCTTTGCTTTCAAACTGAGGAGCAGACATCGGGGATTTGAGGCTCACGTTCACGGAGTGTTGGTTTCCTCCTCTCCGCTGTTGCCACAGAAGGTCTTGGAGTGTACCTTGTTAACCTCACTTCCAGAGGTGCTCAGACCCTGAAATCACAGCATGACAATCGTTCTGACAAGAGGTTCTGGACATTTTCTTGCACATCAAACATTTCACCATCACCTTTGTTTGCCCTGAGTTGTCTCTCATGTCAGAGACAACAAATAAATAATTAGAATGTTATTTGTTAAAGTGAGGCTAATTTTACTTTAAGACCAAGTTTTTGTAAACATTAAAATCAAGACAGACACAAGTAGAACAGATAAAAATTTTTCCCTGGAAAAATCAAAGCACTTGTGAGAAACTTAAAACATTTCCAACATAAAATATATGACATGGTTATCAATCAATTTTGATATAATAAAATGTTAGCTTTAAAATACAACACCCACAAATGTGCTTTACATTCAGTTTACTGTAAATGAGGACTTTTCATATTGTGCTGTTAAGAAAACCAGCATCTTAAATTTGTATCTTCTGAGAGGATGGTAAAACTTGAAGGAGAAAAAAATCCAGTAGCAAAAGAATGATATTACATCTACAGATAATAAATTGGGCGTGTTATTTGCTGTTATGTGCAGTACTCAGTAATAATTAATGATTTTTCTTCAACCACTTAACAGTTGTTTATTAGACCCAGTGTCGTAGGCCTTAGAGGTAAAAGATAAATAAATAGCCCAATTAAAAACTGGGCAAAAGATCTGAACACCTCATCAAAGAAGATTCTGTCCATGGGATTCTCCAGGCAAGGATACCGGAGTGAGTTGCCATTCCTTTCTTCAGGGTCTTCCCGACCCAGGGATCAACTCATTGCAGGCAGATTCTTTACCATCTGAGCCACCAGGGAAGCCCATCAAAGATTATCAGAATGCAAATAAGCATTCGTATGAAGAGATACTCAGCATCATTTGTCATTAGAGAACTGCAAATTGAAACAATATGATACTGCTACACCTATTAAAAATGGCTGGAATCCAAAACATTGACACCACCAAATGCTGGTGAGGATGTAGAACAACAGGAATGCCCAGTCATCACTGATGGGAATGCAAAATGATAACAGCCACTTTAGACAATAGTTTAGTTTCTTACAAAGCTAAATATACTCTTACCACAGGACCCAGCAATTGCATTCTGTGTTTATTCAAAGACAGTTGAAAACACATCCACACAGAAACCTACAAATAATGTTTATTCATAATTGCCAAAAATTGGAAGTAGTCAAGGTGACCTTCAGTAGGACTGGATAAACAATGTGTGGTACTTCCATACATTGGAATACTGTTCAGTGCTAAAAAGAAATGAGTTTTCAAGCCCTGAAATGACGTGTTTAAGGAAACTTAAACAGGCTTCCCAGGTAGCTCAGCTGGTAAAGAATCTACCTACAATGCCGGAGACCCTAGTTCAATCTCTGGGTTGGGAAGTTCCCCTGGAGAAGGGATAGCCTGCCGACTCCACTATTCTTTCCTGGAGAATCCCCATGGGCAGAGAGAAGCCTGGTGGACTACAGTCCATGGAGTCTCAGAGAGTTGGACACGACTGAGCTACTAAGTGCAGCACAGCAAGCACGTATTACTGAGACCAACTTGAAAATGCTGCATACTGTGTAATTTTACATATGTTACATTCCAGAAAAAGGATAACTAGAGACTATAAAAAGATCAGCAATTCCCAGGGGTTCCAGAGGGGAAGTGGAGGAGGAATGAATAGGTAGAGCATAGGGGATTTGGGGGCAGTGAAACCACTATACTGTTCAATGCCATGATAATGGATACATGACATTATGCATTTTGTCAAAACCCATAGAACTATACAACAGAGAGTGAACTCTAATGTAAACTATAGACTTTAGTTAATAATGTATAGTGTTGGTCCATCAGTTGTAACAAGTGTACCACACTACTGCAAGATTAATAATAGGAGAAGCTGGGCAGAGGGATATGGAACTCTCTGTACTTTCTGCTCAGTTTTTCCATAAGCTTAAAAACCGCTCTAAAAATATTAGCAATTGAAAAACAACTACCTCACTAGAGCTTCCCTGGTAGATCAGTCGGTAAAGAATCTACCTGCAGTGCAGGAGACCCAAGAGATGCAGGTTCAATCGCTGAGTCAGGAAGGTCCCCTGAAGAAGGAAAAGGCAACCCACTCCAGTACGCTTGCCTGGACATTCCCATGGACAGAGGAGCATGGCAGGCTACAGTCCATAGGGTCACTCACAGTCAGACACAACTTAGTGACCTCAAACTAGCAACATTTTGTTACTATTAATAATGGCCCACATCTTACTCTCCCTCCTATTGCCTATATTGATTTCAGTACTTTTTAATTGACTGATAATTCATTGCTCAGTGATTTTAATGATAGCTTTCAAGTCCATTAGTTGGCTTTGAATAATATTTATCTATTAAACATTTCTCTTTATAACAAGCATTGATTTTGGACTGTAACTTTTTAAGACATAAATCCAGAAGAAATGAAATGATCATTCATTCTCATAAAGGGTGGTTTTTTTTCCTCCCAAAACAAGAGAAATATGAGAACATATTACTAAAGTAAGGAATTAATAGAAGTAGATACCAGGAAATATATAACTTACTTATAAATATTATCTTTATTAGAGAAACAGAAATCTCACTGATTTTGTAATGAAGTGACAAAGTTTTCCTAAACCAGTATTAGAGAAATCAATCAATGGAAAACACATATATACAATGGATGGATTCAGTAGACTAAATCAGCTATAGTTACTTCTACAAATTTGCCATGGATTATTTACTAGGGACCAAATTCCTGTGTTGGGAAGATCCACTGGAGAAGGGATAGACTACCCACGCCAGTATTCTTGGGCTTCCCTTGTGGCTCAGCTGATAAAGAATCTGTCTGCAATGCAGGAAACCTGGGTTCGATCCCTGGGTTGGGAAGATCCCCTGGAGAAGGGAAAGGCTACCCACTCCAGTATTCTGGCCTGGAGAATTCCATGGACTATATAACCATGGGGTCACAAAGAGTCAGACACAACTGAGTGAATTTCGCTTTCAAATAGTCATATGATAAATAGACACATTTTAAAAGCCAAAAATGTTTAAAAACAACACAAGGGGGGAAAACACTTTCTAGTAGTCTAGCTTCATAGGTATTTGCTATATAATAGATAAGTAGGAGTTGTCAGCCTATTTTCCCCACCGTGCTACACGTGACAGTAATGTTCACATGGAAGACACATTCCCATCACATGTTCAGATTTTAAAGACCACATCCCAAAATTGTGGGAAGCAAAGTACTAAAAATGTGTTTTAATCACCTAACTGTGGGTGTCAGTAACTGCTGCTCAGCAGAGCTGTATAAATAGACTCGAACTCCAAGCTTCCCAGTCAGGTAAGAACAGAACATTGCAACTAAATGCCAGCGATGGTGTAAGAAAACTTACCTTTGTTTATATTAATCCCTTTAAAAAACTAAACAATTTGCAAATGTGAACAGTTTAACTATTATTAGTAAATATCTTGGGTCTTGCCTGACTCAGTTCAGTATATTCGCTCAGTTGTGTCTGACTCTTTGTTACCCCATGGACTGCAGCACGCCAGGCCTCCCTGTCCATCACCAACTCCTGGAGTTTACTCAAACTCATGTCCATTGAGTCGATGATGCCATTCAACCATCTCATCCTCTGTCATCCCCTTCTCCTCCCACCTTCAATCTTTCCTAGCATCAGGGTCTTTTCAGATGGGTCAGTTCTTCGCATCAGGTGGCCAAAGTACTGGAGTTTTAGCTTCAGCATCAGTCCTTCCAATGAATATTCAGGACAGATTTCTTTTAGGATGGACTGGTTGGATCTTCTTGCAATCCAAGGGACTCTCAAGAGTCTTCTCCAACACCAGAGTTCAAAAGCATCAATTCTTTGGCACTCAGCTTTCTTTATAGTCCAACTCTCACATCCATACATGACTACGGAAAAAGCCATAGACTTGACTAGATGGACCTTTGTTGGCAAAGTAATGTCTCTGCTTTTTAATATGCTTTCTAATTTAGTCATAACTTTTCTTCCAAGGAGCAAGCATCTTTTAATTTCATGGCTGCAGTCACCATCTGCAGTGATTTTGGAGCCCCCAAAAATAAAAAATCTGTCACTGTTTCCACAGTCTCCCCATCTATTTGCCCTGAAGTGATGGGACCAGATGCCATGACCTTAGTTTTCTGAATGTTGAGCTTTAAGCCAACTTTTTCACTCTCCTGTTTCACTTTCATCAAGAGGCCCTTTAGTTCTTCACTTTCTGCCATCAGAGTGGTGTCATCTGCATATGTGAGTTTATTGATATTTCTCCCAGCAATCTTGATTCCAGCTTGTGCTTCATCCAGCCCAGCGTTTCACATGATGTACTCTGCATATAAGTTAAATAAGCAGGGTGACAATATACAGCCTTGACATACTCCTTTTCCTATCTGGAACCAGTCTGTTGTTCCATGTCCAGTTCTAACTGTTGCTTCCTGACCTACATACAGATTTCTCAAGAGGCAGGTCAGGTGGTCTGGTATTCCCATCTCTTTAAGAATTTCCCACAGTTTGTTGTGATCCACACAGTCAAAGGCTTTGGCATAGTCAATAAAGCAGATGTTTTTCTGAAACTCTCTGGCTTTTTCAGTGATTCAACAGATGTTGGCAATTTGATCTCTGGTTCCTCTGCTTTTTCTAAAACCAGCTTGAACATCTGGAAGTTCATGGCTCACATACTGTTGAAGCCTAGCTTGGAGAATTTTGAGCATTACTTTATTAGTGTGTGAGATGAGTGCAACTGTGCAGTAGTTTGAGCATTTTTGGCATTGCCTTTCTTTGGGATTGGAATGAAAACTGACCTTTTCCAGTCTTGTGGCCACTGCTGAGTTTCCCAAATTTGCTGGCATATTGAGTGCAGCACTGTCACAGCATCATCTTTTAGGATTTGAAACAGCTCAACTGGACTTCCTTCACCTCCACTGGAATTCCATTA